GCGCACAAACACACACACACAGACTAAACACACACACACACACACACACACACATGCATATAGCCTCCTGATGAGTCGGTGAAACTCCGACGAAACAGTTTGTCACAGCCCCTCGTTTGTTGTCCTCTTCTCTCTCTCTGCCTACGGTTTTACCGGGCAGTTCTGTTTGTGACGATATATACTGATCTATATATTAAAATATTTTTTTTTTATAAATGGTGGACTATGTTGTATTACTGACCCTCCTATGTTTGATCTGGTACCCACATTAAAACCCTTGACTTGTACGAGGAACCTTTGGTTGGAGAGCCAGGGTGGAGCAGGCCCTGTGAGTGAAGTACGTCCTATATTCCTGCTACTTATTTCCCACCCGGGCCTTTCAAAAAAAAAAAATTCCCTAGGGAAAGTGGCCCCTTATGGCGTATATGGTCCCTTACCCGACTACCTGCAAGCCCATTAGTGGCTCACCCAATGAGAAACCCTCTGTGATTCTTCAACCTTTGTTTGGGCCTACTGAGGTAAGGCCTGTCTCGAGATGTAACCGTACCTGAGCCTGGACCCCCTCCGCGGTCCCAAGCCAGATGAAAACGTTCTCTACCTGGCTCATGGCGCTTTCAGAATACCGCCACACGGCCTCACATTAAATAGTGTGCTACCAATCCTGTTCTTCCTCCATTTTCGGCAGAAGCAGCCGGCCGAATGCGTAGTGATGTACGCTTGTACTAGTAGCGCCCGTTCTGAGTGCTCCTAGGACAAGCAACATACCTGCTCATACGGCTCCCGCCTCAGCCTCATTAGTACGTTTTGCGGGAAAACTTCGCTTGCTCGAGTTTCGGCGGGAGATTACTAAACCGTCTTGAGTTTCCCACGGTTCTGTCCTCAGAGCTATCGTTGTCACTAAGCCTTGGCAGGAGATTTTGCCCCTACCAGTACCAATCTTTGATTGGCAGCGTGGCATCATCGCTTCGCACCTTGTATTCGCCTCTCGGAGTGTGTGTTGGGAGGTGCCTCGTGGAGCATCTTGGTTCCCATTGAGCATCTTCGCATGGCGCCCGGAGCGGTAAAGTTCGCACCCCGTTGTCCCCGATTCTGCCCTCTCAATTGATGAAGTAACCCCCTTCCCCGTTTTTCTTGTTTCCCCTCCCCTTTTCCCCCCCTCCCCCCCACCCCTACTCTCTTTGTCTTTGGTGCTTGGGCTATGCCCGACAGAAGCTCCTGTCCCTTTCAGAATGTTATGTGAGAGGTTTTGTTCTCTGAAGATCCAGCATGGTGGAGGCTGGTGAAACGTACTTAAGGGCGCGTTCCACCACCCTCTTAACATACGTCGGCACATTGGGGCCGCCTGACTGAATTGGGACCTTCTCTCTCATCTTTTTCCTTCCCATCTTGATTACCTTGTCCGAATGCTTCTTCACGTTTGGTGCTATGAATGTGACTGCTCACCCTGATTTGGCCCTGTTTGCCCCGTTGATCCTCTTCGCTACGCATGTTGTTATTGATGCGTGTTGTAGGCCCTTCTGTACTCGTCATCGTTGGATTTGTAACGACGGAAGCTCGCCAAGATGGATCTGTTGATCGCTGGCCACGTGGTACTCATCTCAGTGTTGATGTTCATGGCGTACCTCGCCTTCCTTTCATTTTTGGACTACCGTTCGTTCCGATCGTTGCAGTGCATCAGCGACTGTCAAAAATTGACTGCTGTTTTCCCGTCTGCCAGATGGTGCAGAGCGTAGTCATGTGCGTTTAAGCTATGGTTCCAATTCATTCTGTGGCTTCTTCACCAAGTGGAGTGTCTTCTGCGGACAAGCGGTTTGGGATGTTTCCGACTGTCAGGAGCTAGGACCTGTGTTCGTAGTAAAGCGTTCCCCAGGGTTACAAATCATGGCTGTTCCTATCCGCTTTCCGCTGCCAACTTTCTGCCTCTTATGCCCCCCCTTCCTCGTCTTTACTCCCTTCTATTTTTTCTCCATTAGTCTTTTGCTCTTTGCCATGTGGTCGGCATGCTCCCCTCATTTCTCTACTTGCCCGGCGGACTCACCTGCCTTCTCCTCTTGCTGCATCTTTAGTGTGATCGCCTCATCCTATCGGCTCTCGCTCCATGGGTCCTCCCTATTCTTGATTAATGTTATTTTTCTTTGGCATTGTAATGATCAATTTTCATATGGGTGGTATGCGAGGTACGATGGGTAGCTTTGAATCCTCCCACTCGTGGTTACGACGATTGGATGCTGACATGATAGTTCCTTATCGCGTTTTTGCCAGTTGGGCGCTGTGTATACCTGTTGGCGTAGTATGACTAGTTACTCCGTGCTTGGCGTGGCATAAGTAGGGAATGCTGGAGTGATGGTTCGTATCCACGGGAAGTATTCGAGTTTGCGGGAAGGATCGAGGTAACAGTTGCTTGAGTTGGACCAGATAGGGAATTGGTGTTGCGCCTCTGGTTTCATTACGGGCCATCCGGCTGTACTTGTTGATGTGCGATCTGCTTTATGATTCTGATGTCAGTTCAGAATTCCTTAAGTATGTGTGTGTGTCGATGGTGCACGGCTATTTGCTAATGAAGTTTTCGGTGGCCGAATGGCCGTGCTATGTGCCATGATAACTGAACGGCTCCTATTCACTGGCTGAGGCGTGTATCTCTGCGCTTCATCAGCTTGGTATTTGGATTCTGTCATGGATGAACGGGCTAATGACCTGTCACGTAACGACATTCTTTTGGGAAAAATATTTTCGATGCCTTGGGTTATGCCGACGAGAAATTGGTACCATTGTTTTAGCCTCGGATTATTAGGAATGAGCGTACTGTGTAAAGGTTGTTAATATCATGGTTTGTGTGCTGTTCTTGTAACCTGAACGCATGTGCATGTTGGATGTGGAATGGTAGTGAAACCTTGGTACTGTCTTTACCCTTCGACTGTCATCTTGCGTTGCATGATCCCCAAGGATACGGTGTGACTCCTTCCATGGTGTTGTTTTGCAGCGCAATTCGTGACGCAACATGCTGTGACACGGTCACAGAAGCCACGCAATAAAAACATAACACACACACACACACACACACACACACACACACACACACACACACACACACACACACACACA